ACAAATGGTTTAGATGATGCCCCGAACGCGTCGTTTAGCTATCTTTTATGGTTATTTTAATTAAGGGTCACCAGCAGAAAAGTGTTTCTGCACAGATAAAAATTCTGAATTTCAATAGTGATGTAAACATTCATTCAAGTAAACTTGTATTTTATTTCACGCAATCGAGCAACTTGTAAATAATGTTGTTTACAAGAATGGGCTTTTGTATACAATATTTGCTACATTGCATGAAATGTCTCAGAACTTTAAATGATATATAATGTAAACTTATATGATATGCGACGCTCCATTTATGTGCATCATACTGAACAGAAATTTACACTACTTTTTCGAACTGTGTGGTTGCCTTATTTGCTGTTTTGTTTTGATTCTGCGTTCTGTTTCGCATCATTCCATGTCGCTTTACTCCAAGCAAGTGATGCCACATATTCATAATTATCTGTAACCAGATTTTTTTTTCGATATTTTGATACAGATATCTGTATATACAGATTGATTACTGTGATTACAGATTTTTGAAAAATATACAGATTTTTTAAATAAGGAGAATATTTTTTTATATTATTTTTCATATTTATTAATTCTGATAAATAATCGTGTCATACTTTTGATCAGCTTGAATTCAATCTGTGAGCATCAAACCCAAAACGTATTTTCACTAAATATAATATATAATCTTCGAATGGGCTTGAAATCTTTTGAATGGACTTCTGATGTTCAGATGTTCTGATTCTCGTCTGAAGGGATATTAGTTTCGCTTTCTTTATGTTTGATTAACCATGTCACATGGTGACAGATACAATATTTAATTGACTATATTTGTGTGTCAAATCGGTAAACAAGTCATGTTAGAAAACCCAGGAAATTTTCCATTGGAAGCAGATTTGTCTCTCGCTATTACTGGAACTTGATGTTTTGTGTTTTCTGAATTGTTGGAAAGATACAAATCACTTTAAAAATCAAGATTATAGGATTTCGTGATTTAAAAAAAGGCAAAATCTTTAGAAAGCAAAATTTAGTCATTTTTTCAAGATTCTAAACATTGAACAAACTCCTTCTGAACTATGAACTATGAAGATTTAGGTAAATCCACACTGAGACCATAGTAAATAAATTACAGTACCCGTTCGATTTTGGCAACAGAACCACAAAATCGCTCGTTTTTTGTACAGGGTTCGATTTTAACACCATGCCAAAATCGAACGGATTTTGAAAATAATGTTCCATGTGATTACAATTTTTAATTAAAGAATAATTATGAATAACGTATATGTAATAAAGATGACTCATGGTGGTTCATAATCATCGAAATCATAAATTAAATTTAAAAATAAAACCGTTCGATTTTGGCAAAACTAACTTTATGTTGCCAAAATACAGATATTTTTTACAGATTTTTGTCAGCCAGATACAGATTAAAAAGATTTTTTGTGATGAAAATACAAATGAGGCATCACTGCTCCAAGCAGTGGCGAATCTGCCAATGGTTAAAAGTCTATTTCTCGAGTAACATTTGAAATGGGCCTATGTCCAAAACGTAAATAAATCCGGTTTTGATACCATTATTTAGCACCGCTTGATAGCTACTAATCGTGTAGGAAAGTTCCGCATAATCGAGAAAAATCATTAAAAATATCTCGATTTTCGAAACGGCCGATCAACGAAATTTTTCAATTCATTAATAGGCCCGCACGCTAAAACGGCCAACCATTCATTTATTTCATTCCATCGATAGGCCTAGTGATGTAGAAGGGCCGATGATTGAAAATTTTCAAACCAAAGCTAGGCCCTACTGATTGAGGCAGGGCCGATGATTTGTTTTTAATTTATTTAACGTTGCGAAAAGGCTTAGCAAAGGGCGTTCCATTTCTGATGACAAGCACAACGGTGTAACAAAAAGGCCTATCCATTGAAAGATTCACAAAAAGGCTTATTAATTTATGTTAGGTTTAGATCACTTTGAAGCTAAACAATTTAAATTCAAATTGGAATCCATCTCCAATGCATCCTTTGGCGTCAGAAACGCAGTGCATTGATTAGAATGAAAACGCACTCCAACAGTTGTTATTCTCTCGCTATTGTGTAGCTCGTTTCATTTGTTCCGTTATCACTCTATCAGTTTTCCTTCTTCCAAAATTGCCACATGAGCGGACCGGTCACCATTACCCATAGCTAGAAAAATTATTCGACAGTGAAATAAAGTAATTAGTTTTAAAAGTGAATAAATCGATTTTTTTTGTAACCGCGCCGTATCAGTTAAGTGCAAACCCGAAATTTACGCCCGTGATTCATCCCCGTATAAAACATTTGGTGCCGTGACCAGGATCACGAGTGTTGGAAATTGTGCGCTTCATTGTACGACGCTTGGACCTAACCCTATCACTCATCGGGAAGTCTTCCCAAGGATTGCAGTACCGTATACAAATTACAAGGCCTGTTTTTGGACAGGTACATGTGAGTATCTGTCCATTCTTTCCTATCCCCATTGTACGGTGCTTCCTGGGTCGTTTTTTGGATCGATTTCAGACCTTTTCTGATATTTCTGCTGCTGTGTGACACGAGGTTTCTACAACTGGATTGGATACCCACCCGCTTCATGTACCGTTCCTGATTGTAAAGTCATTACAATTCTCGGATGATAATACCAACAATCAATACGAAACTATCGATTTTAAATTGGCTCACTACTTGACTAGCCTATTGGTCCCAAGCAAATCGATTAACGAACCCCATTCTAGTCGAAATTCTACTACTACACAATGTTTGTTTTGATTCGCTATGAAAGTTTGACAGATAAAATGAGGGGTTAGTGGATTTTCCTATGTTTCGAGGGGTGAATCGATTAGCTTGGGACCGAAGAGAGTACCAGAGCTGAGCCAAAAAGTTGAGCACGTTATTTCGGGACCTTCTAGTCTTAGAGTTACCTCTATGATAATACCACCTACCTGTGCGGAAGTACGTTTGTTACCCTAAGAAGAAAGATTATCGCCGAATCGTAACCAGCAATAGCGTGCAGCCCGCACCTTGTATTGCTAGTGCTCCAAGCGCCCCAAACGCCCACTGCCATTCATCCACGGAAGTAGTTCGATTTGTATCGGAGGCTCCAGTTTAATTATAAAACAAGGCCTGTCTTTGGACGGGCACAAGTGAGTGTCTGTCCAAACTTTTCCAACCCTCCTTTCGGTACTTCCTGGGTCTTTCGATCATTCCAGCCATACATCGGAAGTGATCAAACTCACATCATGTCGTAGGCGAAAATAAAGCAGAAGGAGCTGAAGCGACGAAACATCATGGATTCGATAAACCGCATCGACGAGTTCCTGAACAATTTCAACTCCGAACGAGACTCTAAGGAGGTAGCGATACGATTGAGCAGACTGGATATGCTGATAGAAACTTTTGAGGCAATACAAGGTGAATATGAAGCATTCGATGATTCCGACAAATTTGTGGGTGCAAATATGAGCATTAGAGCAAAGGTGGAAGAACAATACTATCGGGTTAAAGGTGGTTTAATGTGCTTGGTCCCTCCCTCCACGCCAGTACCAGTTCAACCAGCACCGGCAGTTCCCGCAATTTCCCATTTGAGTGGCGTAAAGCTTCCGATGATTTCTCTACCGCAGTTTGATGGAGATTTAAACGAGTGGTTGACGTTTCACGATTCGTTCAATTAATTAATACACTCATCGGCAGAAATCCCAAGCATACAAAAGTTCCAATACCTTCGGTCAGTTTTGAAAGGTGATGCACTCAAGCTGATTGAATCCCTGACTATCACTGCAAACAATTACGGTGTTGTTTGGGAGTCTCTGTTGAATTGGTATTCCAACAAATACCTGCTGAAAAAGAAGCACTTGCAGGCCATTACATTCCAACCCAAGGTTCTGGGCAAATCCGCTTCAACACTTCGTGCCGTGGTAGAAGAATTCCAACGGCACGTCAAAATTTTGGGTCAACTGGGCGAACCCACAGTAGAATGGAGCAGCTTGTTGGTTCAATTACTTTGCTCAAGAGTCGACGAGAAAACCCTTAAGGATTGGGAGGAGTTCGTATCCGCTGATGGAGATCCTACGTACACCAATCTTGTCGAATTCCTCACGAAGAAAATACGCACACTGAAGTCCCTGTCAATCACTGCAGAACAATTTGCACCATCCTTCCAAGGCAAACACAATCCCCCCTCGAAGCAATCAAAGTCGTCCCATGGTCCTCTTTCTTCTCGGGTTGGTAGCTACGCTGCAACAGAAAATTACCTACCTATGTGTCACGCATGCAATCAACATCATCTCCTGGTGAAGTGTCCTGTATTCGAGAAAATGTCGCTGAAGGATAGGCTGAACGTGGTCAACACCAAGAAAATTTGCAGCAATTGCTTCCGCGGAGATCACTTCGTCCGCAAATGTTCCTCCAATTTTTCCTGTCGTACTTGTCAAAAGCGACACCACACTTTGCTGCATCCTGGATTCGAAACATCGGCAACTGGCAACGGAAACATTAATCACGGTCAAGGTCAAAGTTCCCAATCCCATCCAGTCTCCAAAGTTGCTAGATGTGAAGTCGAAATGGTACAAACTACTACTGAAGACACGGTTTCCTCCAACTCTGTATCCGACTCGCGAAGTGTGAATGTATTCCTATCAACTGTCGTACTCGTCGTTGTGGATGGATATGGGAGAGAGCATCTTGCACGAGCACTATTGGATTCGGGCTCACAATGTTGTTTGATGAGCGAACGACTCTGCCAACAATTGCGATTGGTTCGGCGACGAATAAACCAACCCATCTTCGGCGTCGGTGAATCTCAAATTCGGGCTGTTGGTTCGGTCTCCACAGAAATTCGATCTAGAATCGACGAATTTTCGGTCTCTCTGGATTGTTTGGTTCTTCGCAACATCACCACAAGTCTGCCTGTGGTATCAATTCCAAAGAACAATTGGACCATTCCCGAGGGCATTAACCTTGCAGACCCTGAATTCAACGTTTCACGGAAAATAGATATGATAATTGGTGCTGAACATTTCTATACGTTCCTGAAGGGTGGCCGGATCACTTTGGGGAAATCATCACCCACGCTTGTGGAGAGCGTGTTTGGTTGGCTACTATCGGGAAAGTCATCCTATGAAACGATATCCCACCCCCCGCTATGCCATATTTCTACCTTGGAGTCACTCGATCGGAACATCGAGAAATTTTGGCGTATAGAGGAAGTAGATACCAGAATTCTGTCACCAACCGAGCAGTGCTGTGAGGATTTCTACAAACGCTCAGTATCCCGGGAATCGACTGGGCGATATGTGGTCAAATATCCCAAAAAGGAAGGCTTTTCCCGTATGATTGGTGACTCCTACTGCAATGCCTTGCAACGATTGGAGAGTCTCGAAAGGAAACTAGATCGGAACGAGGAATTGAAGGAGAGGTATTACGCAATCATGAGGGAATTCATAAATCTAGGACATATGCGAGAAGTCTCCCCAGATCAAGAAGAACCCGCTATAGTTTGCTATCTTCCCCACCACCCGGTGGTGAAGGAGTCGAGCACGACCACAAAGGTCCGTGGTGTGTTCGACGCATCGGCGAAAACCAGTTCTGGAAATTCACTGAATGATGCGCTCTTGGTCGGCCCCGTTATCCAAGACGAACTGTAGGTTATTGTCCTCCGATTTCGTAAATTCAGGATAGTTTTACTGGCAGATATCGAGAAGATGTACCGTATGATCAGCATGCATCCTGATGAGTGGTTCCTCCAATGCATTCTTTTCCGTTTCGGCAAAGCTCACCCTATCACCAAATACGTTCTAACGACAGTGACGTATGGATTGGCTCCGTCATCATTTCTGGCAACCCGCACGCTTCATCAGCTTGCCGAAGACGAAGGCGATTCGTTTCCCCGCGCTGCAGAGGCGCTAAAGCAAGATTTTTACATGGACGATTTCATCCGAGGAGAGAATAGCGTCGAGTCGGCGATCAAATTACGACGAGAGATAACTGAGTTACTCAAACGTGGAGGTTTTCGACTGAGAAAGTGGTGTTCCAATTCCCAAGCGGTCCTAGAAGGAATTCCGGAGGATGACCTAGCCACTCAATCCAGTCGATCGTTCGATCCCGAAGAGACAATTAAAACGTTGGGAATCAGCTGGGAACCATCGTCCGACCAGTTTCGATTCAGCATCAACGTGAGCATGAAGGAAGGACCGATAACCAAACGTAAAATTTTGTCGGGGATCGCACTCCTGTATGATCCGCTTGGTTTGATTGCACCGATTGTCGTTCGGGCCAAGATATTGTTGCAACAGTTGTGGATGCTGTCTTTGGAATGGGACGAGGTGGTACCCACCGAGATCCAAGCCAAATGGATGACTTTTATCAACGAGCTGCCCTACCTAGTCAGTTTTCGTATTGATCGGTATGCCTTTGAGGAGGGGGATGTGCAACTACATTGTTTCGCCGATGCATCCGATGTTGCTTATGACGCGTGTCTGTACGTGCGTACAATTGGAATCAACGGAAAAGTGAAGGTTGAACCATAGAGGTAACTCTAAGACTAGAAGGTCCCGAAGAAATGTGCTCAACTTTTTGGCTCAGCTCTGTACTATCTTCGGTCCCAAGCTAAACGATTCACCCCTCGAAACATACGAAAATCCAATAACCCCTCATTTTATCTGTCAAACTTTCATAGCGAATCAAAACAAACATTGTGTACACGGTAAGAAAAAAGTACCCAAAATTGAGTTCCTTTCACTCATCACGTGGCTTCCGTGGGGCTAGGTAAAATTAAGTTAAAGAAGAAAACTCAATTTTGAGTAATCCTGATCGTTGACCAAGTTGACAAAAAAATAATAAAATGGAGCAGACTGGAACCGAACCATGGACGTTGAGATTACGTCTATCAACGCTTGTAAAACTGAAATGGTTAAAGGCGCATAAGAGCAACCTCAATGAAAATAAACTTATATTTGAGTTCATTTATTATTACTCAATAGTTGAGTAAATTTTAACCAACCCCGCTTTTCTGATTCACTCAACGGCAGACCTCAAATCATAGAACCCAACGTTGAGTTTTTTTAAACTTAATTTTGAGTATTTTTTTCTTGCCGTGTAGTACTCGAATTTTGACTAGAATAGGGTACGTTAAACGATTTGCTTGGGACCAATAGGCTACTCAAGTAGTGAGCCAATTTAAAATCGTTAGTTTCGTATTGATTGTTGGTTGAACTGCTAACTTCGAAATCGAGGGTGGCCCCGCTGAAGAAGCGTAGTACTCCACGGTTGGAATTATGTGCTGCTCAAATCGCTGCTCATCTAGCTACGAAAGTCCGCAATGCGCTGGAAATTGAACCTGGATCCATCTGGTTTTGGTCAGATTCGACGGTGGTCTTGCACTGGCTTCGCTCCCCACCGCAAACATGGAAAACGTTTGTTTCAAATCGTGTGGCCGACATTCAAATCCTAACTCACGGCTCCAGGTGGCGGCATGTTTCCGGAATGGAGAATCCCGCAGATTTGGTATCGCGGGGTATGGAAGTTCGATAGTTCACGACGAGTGAGCTTTGGTGAAAAGGACCCGATTGGCTGCGGGAGGGAGAGGATCTCTGGCCAGAACAAGTACCCATTCTGACTGCTCCATTCGACGATTTACTTGAGCGCAAGACAACGTGCCTGGCAATTCAAACCCCACCACCACCGAACCCCTTGATTACCCGATTTTCGTCGTACCACCGCATGGTACGGACGATAGCCTATTGTCTGCGGTTTATTAAAAATGCTCATAAGGGAGAACGAGAAAACACAATGTTTCTTTCCGTCGATGAAGTAAAACATTCACAAGCCACTCTGCTGAAAATGGTTCAAGCTGAGTGCTACCAAAAAGAGCTGCGTGCTCTCAAGAAAGGTCAACCGGTTACTAACCAGTCCACGTTGAAGCTGCTGAACCCGTTCGTGGACACTTCTGGAATTATACGCGTTGGTGGCCGGCTTAGACTCTCTGAAGAATCCTATGGTACCAAACACCCAATTCTTCTACCTGGGTTCCATCACTTCACACGAATGCTCTTGGTGTCGTACCACAGACAAACAGACGTAGCTCTTTGAAAAAGTTTTTCTTGAACATATAGTATCTCAAAACATAGGACCTCAGTAACGACATCTCTCGGGCTTCTCTCGGAAAACAAGCTTGCTCGCCAAGTCTCAAACAATATTGCATACAAGTTTGATATAATGTATAGAAACGTCAAAGTGGTCCGATGCCAGCGCTGCGGCGAGTAGTTCGCGGAACTGATAATATTCAAATTAATCGTTAAATTCATGAACGAAGATGCAAAATGAAGAGTTACGTCTGTTTGTCTGTGGTCGTACCATCGTAAATTATTACACGGTGGCATTTCACTCACTCTTGCCGTGGTTCGCGACGATTTCTGGCCAACCAACGGCAGAAGAGCCGTTCGTAGCATAATTTGGAACTGCTACACAGCAAAAAAATAATTTTGATATCACATCAAAGTGGATGCACTACAATCATGTCGAAAATTTCATGTAATTTTTATGGCCACATAAATAAACAAATGCAGTAAAAGCAGCGTAATGTCAGTTCATGCATTGTAATATTGATAATTTTGTCCTTTTTAGCAAGTAATATTACACAATATTTTCGACATGATTGTAGCAACAATCAATACGAAACTAACGATTTTAAATTGGCTCACCACTTTAGTAGCCTATTGGTCCCAAGCAAACGATTAACGTACCCTATTCTAGTTGAAATTCTATTACTACACTATGTTTGTTTTGATTCGCTATGAAAGTTTGACAGATAACATCAGGGGTGTGTGGATTCATGCAGAACATGCAGGGGTGAGTGAAATAGCTTGGGACTGCTTGGGACCGTTGTTCTGGTACTGAGTGAGCCAAAAATAATAATGATTTTCTTCGGGACCCAGTGGTCTTAGAGTTACCTCTATGATTGTAGTGCATCCACTTTGACGTGATATCAAAATTATTTTTTTGCTGTGTACCGCTGTACTCGTACAAATCCCCGTCCGATCCAGTAACCTGTTGGACAAATTCCTACTGCGCGAATCACTCCCAGCCGGCCATTTGCTTCAACCGGCATAGATTACTGTGGTCCAGTGTACGTAAAGGCTAAACTCCGCAAAGGTGCCCCTACCAAGGCCTATATCGCACTGTTCGTATGTTTCAGCACTAAAGCTGTTCATATTGAACTGGTTGGAGATTTGTCTACATCATCCTTTATCTCTGCATTGCGGAGATTTATTGCTCGTCGCGGCTTACCCGAACACATCTATTCGGATAATGCCACGAACTTCGCCGGAGCAAAGCACGAGCTCCATAATCTCTACCAAATGCTCAACAACCAAACCGAAAATGCTCGTATCGCTACCTGTCTCGCAACGAATGGAATCAAGTGACACATGATCCCACCTTGTGCTCCTAACTTCGGTGGGCTCTGGGAGGCTGCTGTAAAAGTAGCAAAAAAGCACCTACTTCGTCAAGTTGGACCCATTTCGTTGCTGCAAGAGGACAGTGTTGGTGCAAATCGAGGGCTGCATGAACTCTCGCCCTCTGGTCGTGTTATCTGATGACCCTAATGACCTTCAAGCGCTAACACCCGGACACTTTTTGGTGGGCTCTTCCCTGCAAACTCTCCCGGAACCGGATTTGAGAGAGATTCCGATCAACCGATTGGACCGTTACCAGCTAGTTCAGCAGAAAGTGCAGCATTTTTGGTACCGATGGAGGACCGAGTACCTGAAAGAGCTGCAACGTTAAACGGCGATAAACCCACGAAAAGTCGACTTCCAAGTTGGCCAAGTAGTCATCCTGCAAGATCATCAGCTTCTACCGGTACGCTGGCTTTTGGCCCGCATTATGGAACTTCACCCAGGACAAGACGACGTAGTACGTGTTGCAACCGTACGTACTGTAGCTGGAGTCTTCAAGCGACCTACTTCGAAGCTATGCCTGCTGCCCTCGACGATGGAGGACGACATCGAAGGAGACGTCACGGAGAAAGCAGATCAGTAGCTTAACTCAAACTTGATGTAATTGAATTTGTATTATGCATTACCAGTAATTCTCAACGAAATATTCATTTCGGTGGCCGGTCTATGTAGGTTTAGATCACTTTGAAGCTAAACAATTTAAATTCAAATTGGAATCCATCTCCAATGCATCCTTTGGCGTCAGAAACGCAGTGCATTGATTAGAATGAAAACGCACTCCAACAGTTGTTATTCTCTCGCTATTGTGTAGCTCGTTTCATTTGTTCCGTTATCACTCTATCAGTTTTCCTTCTTCCAAAATTGCCACATGAGCGGACCGGTCACCATTACCCATAGCTAGAAAAATTATTCGACAGTGAAATAAAGTAATTAGTTTTAAAAGTGAATAAATCCATGTTTTTTTTGTAACCGCGCCGTATCAGTTAAGTGCAAACCCGAAATTTACGCCCGTGATTCATCCCCGTATAAAACAATTTATGAAATTAAAATGTTATCGATTTTCATATATTTTTGGAAGGTTTTCACATATTGTGGATGTTGTTTACTGAGATACAGTTGCTATTGTTATTGTGAACAATATAAATGCCTTAAATTTATATTTTATAAATGCCTAAATTTTTTTAAATATGAATTGAATAATGGCGAAAAAAAAAATTCATTTTCTGGTTTGTTTACGTTTTGGAAATAGGCCCATATCAAATGTCACTCTAGATTTAATAAAGTAACCTACACTCAAAAAATTTATCACACATCTAATGGATGAAATCCATGTGACCCATTTGTAGTGTATATTATAAACATATTTCGACATGATCTCGATTAGAAATAGTTTGGAGGTTTGTAGGCATGGAAAATCATTTACATTCAATTCATGCAATCATTTACATTCATTTGCCTCTAACTTTTTTTTATCAACAGCAATATGCGAAATGATGTATAGAGCTTTAGTGGGTTTTGTTATTAGCTAAAACTTTTTTTTTCCATAAATCAAATCTGTGTCTCTTATGCATCACGAATTAAAGCGGGCAGAATTTGTTTCTGTTTTTCAGTGAATGTAAAATACATTCACTGAAAAATAGTAGTGGCTTCTGTTCGCTCTGGTTCGTCATTTATAAGAGATAAGAATTTGAGTTGTTAACAAAAGTTGTAGCTAATAACAAAACCTACTAAAGCTCCATACATCATTTTGCGGAATTCTGTTGATAACACGAATGATTTTCCATGCCTGGAGGTTTGTAACAAACTTAATATTTTTTGAATTTCGGATTTTCCACTGATAACACAGCCTTGAAGTTTCTACAACATTTATTATGACATTAAAAAATCTACTATAAAAACATTAAATCTGAGGTAGTACTTTGTACGGATTCAATATTCCATTGGGGTCCATCATTTGCTTCATCTGTTGCATTAGCATCAACGATTCCGGACGCTTCGAATATTTCAAATATTTTGTCTTTAGGAACCCGATGCCATGTTCGGCGCTGACACTTCCTCGCACCTTGGACGTGTACTCGTACACAAACGGTTCGAGCAGTTTGTAGATTTCCGGTGTAAACTTCGGACAGGACACGTTCAGGTGAAGGTTGGAGTCTCCGATGTGACCGTAGCCGGTCACCTTGGTGGCCAGCGATCCGACTCGTTCCCGAGTCGCTAGGACTATGTCGTAGAAGTTGTCCAGTGGGAGCGAGATATCGTACTTGAAACAGTAGCCATCGTTGATGAGACTGTCGGCAATCAGTTCGCGGAGTTTCCAGATGTTCTGGGAAAGAATGTTGGGTATTAAAATGAACGTTATTTAGCTGTGCAAGAAGTAACTTACTCTCATTTTGGTTGGCTCATTGGTAACAGTTCCATCCAGAACAAGTCCGTTCTCCATAGAGCTTTCCAGGAAATTTGTAAGTTTCTCTTCGTCGTGAACCATGTTGCTTCCGGAAGTCTCAATCAACATGTAGAACGGGTATTTTTCGATTGGTGATCTTAAAAGAGCCACTGGTTAATAATAACGATCATTCGTAGGATCATGAAAGTTCTTACTGAAGATTGAAATGGTAGGTACTGCTCTCTAGAGATCCCGCATCGATCATTTCACACGACGATAAAATTTCTCCCAATCCCCTTTTGGCTGACAGGAACGTATTCTTAACGGCATCGTAGTTTTCCAAGCCAAGGAAAGCCACGTTCACTGATTTCGAAGCCGTTGGGCAGAAAATCGACAGTTTTGTTATGATTCCCAAGGTTCCTTCAGAACCTATGAAGAGATGTTTCAGATGGTAACCCGTATTGTCTTTCTTGAAATCGGACATCAGATCCATTATACGGCCTTCTGCTGTGACCTAAAATGATCAATTACTAATGTACATGACTAAGGTATCAAAGATGTAAACTTACAGCTTCAACGCCAAGCACCGATCCGTGAAGGTTTCCATAGCGAACCAATCGCAGTCCACCGGCATTCGTCGATACATTTCCTCCAATGTGACACGATCCCTTGGCACCCAAATCTAGTGGCATAACTAGTCCTTTTTCGTTAACCTTATCTTCCAAACTGCCCAAAACGCATCCAGCTTGGCACACCAGGATCCCCGAGTACTCATCAATCTTTTCAATTTTATCCATCAGCGAAAGTGACAACACAACCTCATCAAAGACCGGAACCGATCCACCAACCAGTCCAGTGTTTCCTCCCTGTGGGCACACAGCCAATTTTCGCTCATTGCAGTACTTCAATATCTCCGAAACTTCTTCGGTACTCTTCGGTTTCAGAACCACCCGGCTATAGCCCCGGACGCTCCCCATGTAGTCGATGTTGTATCCTTGAATGTCCTCCGCTTGCGTCAGCACTCGGCTGCTGCCACCAAGGATCGATTCAAACTTTGCTACATCACTGTCGCTCACTTCGTCAAATTGACCACGTTTCACCGGGTAGCGTTCTTTCGTAAGGGCAGGGATCTCGCGATGGCTGGACGCGAGTTGACGACACAGGTGTTGAAAGACTTTTCGTTGCGGAAGCTTGGTTCGGAGGGAATTAGAACGAAGGAGGAACATTTTTGATGACTATAGCCAATTCTAGAAGAGGGGAGACGAGAATAAGGGGACTTATTAGGGTATGCTGCTGTAGTATTTGGAATGCAAACATGACTAGTAGAGGGATGCAAAATCTGATGTTTTCGCACCACAGTCTTCAAACGGTTTCAAATCGTCCGCCCAAAAATTTGAACTCATTTAGTTAAACTCACCATGCTCAAACCATTTGAAATTTATATGGGAATTACTACGGGAAAAGCAAACATTTTGTTGATACCATTCTTATAATTCCCCATACTTATCTACAAAAAAACAAATTGATTGCTATACTTTTCACCACCACATTCACCAGTACAAACAGACGTCAGAACCTTTATTGTTATTATCACTTTCTCAGAAAGGAATGTATAAACGTTTCGAGTATTGATTCTATGATGAGATGTGCATTAAGCGAACCCCACACGTTTCAATATATTGACGCGAAGGGGAATTATTGACAATAATATTGGTGATGTGAATTCAGAAATATTGTCAATCTCGATGTATTGAGGTCAATAAATAATGTATTGACAATACGATTATTGTCAATAAAAGGAATCGTGTAGGGTCCACTTTAGGGTGGGTTAACATTATAACCCCTGCTCCCCAGCTCATTCGATGTGCATTGAGGTTCCCAACAACTGTGCAAAATTTGAGCAAATTTAGTTATTATCTGGACTAACTCTAGATAGAGCTGGAATTAGGGCGTAACAGCGTTTGTAAACAATGACTTCTCTCGTGGATTTCTCGGAATTCAAGGCACGCCTACACAAAACAACATATCCATCGGGTAGGAGTAGTCTTTCTCTACTCGATGGTGATGTCGATTTGCCAGGGAGAGCTATGGCTTCCGAGAAATCATCGAGAGAAGTCATTGTTTACAAAAGCTGTTACGCCCTAATTCCAGCTCTATCTAGAACTAAGCAGCAACGTGCTAACATTTCGATATTTAGTGTCCGTTTGCATCCGTTGCGCGGTCTAAAACTGACCACGCAGCATTTATTTATTAGGTGCATATCTAGATAGAGCTGGAATTAGGGCGTAACAGATTTTGTAAACAATTACTTCTCTCGAAGATTTCTAGGAATTCAAGGCACGCCCACGCAATCCAATACAACCATTGGGTAGGGGATGTCTTCCTCTACCCGATGATGATGTTGATTTGCGTGGGCGAGTTTTGATTTTGTAGAAATTATTGAGAGAAGTCATTGTTTACAAAAGCTGTTACGCCCTTTTTTCCAGCTCTATCTAGATATGTTTATTTTTGAGCAAATAAATTCATTCAATGTGCAACCATCAGTAGAGTTTTTTTAATTCTTTATTTGTTCGAAATTTAAAATAAATTGCATTTAATTTTAACCTAGGTGCTCCAGTTACAACAGTAACTTACCAGCCTTAATTGTTATGATATATATCTAAGTGTTTTTACAATGTTCCTGCCTTGGCAATGCAGTATTTTAAACAGATTTTTTAAACCTGCATGGCAGTATAACAATTGAAATCTTAAAACTAAAAACTAGAACTAAATCTTATCTAAGTATAAAGGGAATTAATCGTTGCAATTGAGGATTGCAACGATTTTTGTCTGAAATTATTAATTATTTTGTTAGACATTTGTTCTAAAGTCTCAACATTCGAAATTCTATGTACCTCGGTAAAACTGTACCAGGGAAGCAACTTCAAAATCATCTTCCGAACTTTGTTCTGAATCCTTTGAAGGGCTTTTTTCCTGGTAGTGCAACAAATAGACCATATTGGCACAGCGTAAAGCATGGCCGGTCTGAAAACTTGTTTAAATATTAGAAGTTTATTCGTCAGGCAAAGTTTGGATTTCCTGTTTATAAGAGGATACAAACATTTTATATATTTGTTACATTTGGCTTGAATGCCCTCAATGTGATCTTTAAAAGTTAATTTTTGGTCAAGTATTAATCCAAGATATTTCACTTGGTTTGACCAGGAAATTGGAACTCCGTTCATAGTGACTATGTGACTACTACTAGGTTTCAAAAACGAAGCTCTAGGCTTATGTGGAAATATTATAAGTTGAGTTTTGGAAGCGTTGGGAGAAATCATCCATTTTTGTAAATAAGAAGAGAAAATATCTAAACTTTTCAGCAGTCTGCTGCAAATAACACGAAGACTTCTTCATTTAGCTGAAATGCCTGTGGAGATTTGTGGCAGCCCTGAGGCAAATCAGGGAGGTCCGAAGTGAAAATGTTATACAATATAGGCCCAACAATGCTACCCTGAGCAACTCCTGCTCTAACAGGTAGTCGATTAGATTTGATAATTTACCTGCAGGGTTCTGTCAGTTAAATAATTTTTAACTAATTTCATAATATAAAGTGGAAAATTAAACTTTTTCAATTTAGCAATCATACCTTCATGCCAAACACTGTCGAATGCTTTTTCTAAGTCTAGAAGAGCAACTTCAGTTGAGTAGCCTTCAGATTTGTTTGAACGAATTAAATTGGTAACTCTTAAGAGTTGATGGGTAGTTGAATGCCCATGGCGAAATCCAAACTGCTCATCAAATTAAGTTCGTATTGATGTGAAGCATCATTCTATTTAAAATTATCTTTTCAAAAAGTTTACTTGTTGAAGAAAGCAAACTTATTGGACGGTAGCTAGAAGCTTCAGTTGGATTTTTATCCGACTTCAAAATTGGAATAACTTTTTCATTTTTCCATTTATCAGGAAAGTATGCCAAATGGAAACATCTGTTAAATAATTTTACCAAGAAAGGCAAGGTACTCTCTGGAAGTTTTTTGATGAGGATATAGAAAATTTCATCATCACCCGGAGCTTTCATATTATGAAACTTTTTAGTTATATATCTTACATCTTACTTTGTCCAAAATCAGTCCCCCAGGAATCATCAAAAATATTTTCCCAAGAGAAAATATTCAGATAATCCCGAGCAACCTGATTCTCAATAGGACTACCCAAGTAACCAACAAGCCCGTTAATAGCCCTTTTTGCTATATAATGCTGCTATACGACTGATATAAAGTTCGGAAACCCTATATTTACCTTATATCGCAAAAAGGGCAATTATCGGATAGTTAGCGGGCTTGGTGGTTACTTGGGTAGTAAGACCCAAACTGAAATTATGGGAACTCTCGAATTGCTTAGCAAGTTTCTGAACTTTTTCCGAATTTGTGATCAAAATTTTACCACCTTCTTTAAGCGCTGGGATGGCTTTTGAGGTTTTTTCAAAAATTATGTGAGTTTCCAAAAGGGTTTGGAACGCGGGTCTAAGTTAGAAATATTATTTTCAAAAGTTTTGTTCCTTAAAACCCGCCAGATAACTTTCATGGCAGGATCGCGTGTTCTTTGATATTGTCTCCTACGGACGTTCCTTAAAACCCGCCAGATAACTTTCATGGCAGGATCGCGTGTTCTTTGATATTGTCTCCTACGGACATTTTTAAAACGGATCAAGAGCTGAAGATCGTCGTCTATTATAATTTAATCGAATTTAACCTCGCATTTTGGTATTGAGGCAGCTCTTGCTTCAACTATAGAAGTAGTCAGATATTCAAGAGCATAATTAATTTCATCTTTGGTTTGCAAAGGAATGTTTGGATCGAAGTTATATTCCATAAATGTTCGATATTGCTCCCAATCAGCTCTATGGTAATGTAAAATAGAGCTGTTGGGATTACAAATTATTTCTTGAAATATTTCAAAAGTTACTGGAAGGTGTTCAGAAACGAAGTCAGCATGGGTAACCAATTGGCTACAAAGTTGACATGAATCAGTTAAGACCAAATCAATAGTTGAGGGATTTCTTGCTGAGGAAAAGCATGTTGTACTGTTTGAATATTGAATAGTGTAATAACCTGCAGAACAATCATCAAACAGAATATTACCATTGGAATTGCTTTGAGCATTATTCCATGAGCGGTGTTTTGCATTAAAATCTCCAATAATAAAAAATTTAGACCTATGACGGGTAAGTTTCTGAAGGTCACCCTTGAGAAAATTCTTTTGCTGGCCTACGCATTGGAATGGGAAATAGGCAGCTATAATCGGAAGTTGTCCAAATTTTGTTTTAACAGAAAACCCCAAAGTTTCAAAAACTTTGTTTTCAAATGAAGAAAGAATTTTATGTTTGATCATCAAGACGATCATTTCTATAAATAAAATAATTTGCGTCCCTTTTAACCTTATGGTCAGGTTTAAGGAATGCTTCAGTTATAACGGCAATATGCACGTTATGAACTCTCAAAAAGTGAAATAGATTGTCTTCATTATCTTTAAGAGATCGAACATTCTAATTTAAAATATTTAATGATTTAAAATCCATTGCTGAATTTCAAAGTTATAACAATATTGTTCGCAAATTTTACTCCAGTTTGAATAGCATCAAACACGGAGTTAGCATATCAGTAATCATTTCAATTAATGATTTCTGTAAAAAATCCATTTTAGGAGCAGTAATGCTTCCTAAGTCAAAATTGTCAAAATTTCCGTTAGAATTACGGTTTGTATTTCGATTTCTACCAGCTGCAATAGCAGCATAGGTAGCTCAATTTACTTGCTGAACATTGTTAGCAGCGAGGGGAGTAGGTATAGATGAAGAATTTGAAGTAGGGGTGATGTTTGTACCAACGGGTACGAATGTAGAATTTGTTCCTCGCTGACCGCTGTTAACAGCAGAGGAATTTGTATCTGGTAGCAAACGTGGAGCGTTTCCTACCTGTCGGTTAGAACGAGACTGTAGGATCGCTTTGCGAGTCTTACATTCCCAAAAATTGAATTTGTGGATTTCACCACAATTTGAACATTTAAATTTCATAGGATCTTCCTTCACAGGACAGTCGTCCTTTGAGTGGGAGGAATCACTGGCATGTAGCAACTTTTGTTCCGTGACCCCATCCCTGGCACTTATGGCACTGGGTGAGGTTTTGGAAATTTCCTCCAGTCTTCCTGCAGTGTTCTCACTTCACTCGGACATGGAGCATAAGGCTAGCTTTTTCCAAGGCCTTAAGGTT